CGATACGATACAGACATCTTATTAACAAAACAGGTTTTGAATACCAACGAATGCGTAGCATTGGTACTTCCAGTGCACTCGCGAGAAACGAGACTTGTCTCGTTTCTAACAAGACGCGTCTCATGAGACGGTGGTAACTTACTTTTGAGCGGTACTGTATTTGCGAATTGCAGAAACAAAGAATGGTTTGAATTTCCCGTGCTTTTCATGTTTCTAAATTCCTAGTCCTCATAGAGATTCAAAATTACATGTAACTCTATCAGAATTTGCAGATGCTGTACATAAGAATAAAATGTTCAGGTTAAAGGAATTATTTTAGCTCCATTGTTTCTTGAAGCAAAGCATGCAACTTAAAACTGGCATTTTCTTTCTCAAAGTTCCCTTTTCAGAAAAGCAAGAAATATCACTTGGACACCACATTTAGATAAGTACAGCTGTAGCTTATTGTTATTGGGGTTGGTTAGGGGCAGGGAAAGGGCAGCAAATTAAAAATATACATGTATAACTTTTCTGCATTCATTTTTATACCCTTTTAAAATATGTGACTATCTTCGTAAAAACTGGCTTTAAAAACACAAGTCACCCTTAATACTTCATGGAATTAATCTGAGAATTACAGATGGATGTGGAATACTCCTGCTTACGAAGAGAATAAGATGCTTTTAACACTTGTGTCAGCTGCCACTTGAGTTGTTGAAACTCATTCTTTGCAAAAGACATTGGTTACAAGCATATATTTAAAACTGCACACATAATTAGAGTTGGAAACACTTTCAAACTTCATGTAAGTTTCAGTCAAGAATGTCAACAAGTGAAATCCACCTGAACTCACTACATGTGTCAAAACTCAGAAATGAACCTATAGCTTTACAGTGGAATACAGAAATACAACTTCAACTTAAAATTAGCAGCTCCATATCATGTTTATATAATTACATGAACATAATACATGAAGAGTAACATCAGTCATTTATATTGGGACTACAATTAAATGAAACTACTACAATCCATCATAAGGGAACACAAAAATAGAACGTGTTAATCTGTCTCTATAAATTAAATACAAATCTTGCAGTGTTTATTTGAAGTATAAGCTATCCTTTAACTGTTCCAGTTTATACCTGTTGAATTTTCATTCAGTTCTTAAAATGGTGGTTATCATGCTGTACTTCTACTACATGCGTGTCCTGCTGCAGTAAAGATTTATGCTATTTATAACTCAATAAAAAATGTATAATCTGCATGTATAGGAGATTGTTAGACATTTGGAACCCCAGGGGGAAACTCCCATAAGAGAAGGTCATATATGAGAAGTATAAGGTATCCTAACTGTTCCAGCTTATGCCTGTTGAATTTTTATTCAATTCTTAAAATGGTTGTTATCATGCTGTACTTCTACTACATGTGTGTCCTGCTTCCGTAAAGATATAATTAAGTTATTTATAACTCAATAAATAATGTATAATCTGCATGTATAGGAGACTGTTGGCTACAATGTCTCTTCTTAGCTTTTATGTGTTACATTATGGTACTCAGTATTTCAGTGGACTTAATAAGAAAGAAACTGTTCCTATTAAAAGCAGTGTTCATCTTGATTTTTGTTGTTTTGTCTGTTGAAATCTATTTCAAATATGTAATAAATAATTATTTATTATAAAATGATTTTACCAAAGAACAAATTCAGCCACACAAAGAGTTTCAATAAGCAACCATATTTGGACATCAGAACCTATGCATCACATTTGACCAAAATATGTTTATTTTCCTGTTTTTCACTGCAGTACCAAAAAGAACTCCACAATGATCAATTTCTATTCTCTTTTTATTCCACTACCTGTTCTACATTCCTCCAATAGGCCATTTCCGAGTTGCCTTTTGCCTCTGTGTCAAAATGGGTCTTAGTGCAAAACCATTCAACATATGACTTTCACCTGAAGGTTCATTTTCATGCAAATCACACTCAGTTTTGCACAAAGACTCGTTTTGAAACTGAGGCACAAAGAAACATTCATGAGCTGGCTCACAGGAGCCTTTGATTCAAACTTAAATATCTCTGAAACTAATACAGATATTTGCAAACTGTAAACGGCATTTACATTTTGCAAATATTTTGCAAATATCTTTTACGTTCTTTTGTAGAATTCTACGTGATACACCTAAAAAATCAATGGGGATAAATTTGATCATAGTACCACTTTAAAGACAGAGCAAGACACATGTACATTACTATAGAGGCAGGAAGAGGGGGATGATTATTTGAAGGAGGTGATTATTTCAAATATTTCCACTAAAGAGAAAGGTTTTATATTCTTGGTTAAAATCTGAGTAGAACAAGAAATTTGCAATTTGACATACCTTAGCTAGAGCTTGGGCAGCCTTAGTACTCTTTGCTTGATATAGAGCTGACTGGTAATCTTCAGCATGATCAGAAGTGACCTCAACCAAGTGTGCACTGGGATTGCGAAGTGCCTCAAGAGTGCTGTTGGCATCTTGGTGCTCAATTGCATCGTTAATTGCTATCACTGCTGCATGCACTGTACAGACAGACAAACATTGCACACTGAAATATTACTTTTATTACCAAATGATAAGCCTTCAATCCACAAAGTTAACAAAGCACACCATCATGCCCTTTTTTAAATGCCTTTTCTTTGTTTCTTGTTTCTTTGTTATTTGATAATAAAAAATGTGGGTCACTGAGCTACTTTTTGAGTCATAAGTGCCTCAAGCTAAAATTAAGGGTGTTTTAGCAAGCCATACTGCTGCTATGGTAAACTATTTTGCCATGAAATTGACACCAACATGTTCACCAATGATTGGGTAATTTTTCTGATACCATGATAATGGCATCAACTGATATAGAGTGGTTATTATGACCCATCAAAATCTCTGTCTTGGAACGTGCTGGAAACTATTTTGAACCACCTACATGTATAAAGATTACTTTGTATCAGTATGTTTACTTACAGGCTGCTTCATCCACTGGCATCTGAAAAATGAAAAAGTACAGCTTTCAATGGAAGATGGAAGAAAAGAATACGAAGGAGAGAAAGGGAGGGAGGGAGAGATAAAAAGAGAAGAGAAAGAAGAAGGGAGGGTCAGGAGTCGGATGTAGGGAGAGAAGGACAAAGAAGGTAAAGAAGAAGAAGAAGCAGGACAAAAAGGAGGAGAGGGAGAAGAGAGTGAAGGAGGAGAATGGGGAAGACAAGGAGAAATAGAGGTACTTCGATCATGGAGCTTTTCACCACAGTCCTGAGTTTGACTCCTCCACTCCACTTGCACAACATCCACCTGGTCTACCTCTTTTCACTTTGGATTCTCATTAATGCCTACCCAAATTAAAAGGCTTAAGGTATCATGGTAAGTGGATTGACAGTGTTTGGAAATCACACTCTTACGCTGGCACTTTGAAAGACACCCCATCAACCTATACATTTCCTGACAGCTTAATGGTTATAGAATACAATGAAATCGCTCAAGGCCAAAGATCTTGTTTGACGCCGAACCTGTGGGTTCCACCAGATTTTCGCCCAACCTTTCGGCTTCTTCAAAGATGAAAACAGGCAAGTTTGCTTGTGTTTTCGTCCTGACATAATCAAAATTTGACAAGAACAAAAGCTAAGTTGCAATGAAACAAAAAGATTGAGAACAGTTTGCGTGCACAACCGCAATTCACATTTCAAGTGACAACTGGTTGTGAATTTTAATTGGAGGTGTCAACGCACTGTAAGAAGTTAATAAAATTCAAAAATAGTTTTTCCCTTTATCTTTTAAAGTAAAAAAAGCTTTTTCTCTCATTCTTTTTGCAAAACATTTATCTCAGTCTTCTCAATTTGAACAGCAAAAAAAAAAAAGATTTTTTGTATTTTTCGTAAAAATTCACCTACCATGATGCCTTAAGAGCATCTTTTATGTAAACCCTCAATTTATTTTACGTCTCAAGTCCAGACAGGTTTTATACCTCGCTTTCCAAAATTCCTCCAATCTTGCTAAAAGCTGGCATCTGAATTCCATACTTTTCCAGTTCCTTCCTCATGGCACTGATCTGCTCGTCTGAAGGCAGAAACATAAATTGATTTGTAAAACAGCAAAAGGAGATCTTTACAGGCAAATACACCTAAACAAAAAGCCAGTGCAGGCCATATCGTATTTTCTCATTACATAGAAGCAAACCTACCAGTGAATTTAGCCTTGCCATAGAGATCCTGTATCTGAGGTGCTAATCCTAACTTGAACAGGAACAAACTAGATAAAAAGAACACAATAAACTGTTTCTTGGTCTTTATAATATAAAATTCAATTCAAAGTGTCAGTACTTGAGATATTTCAGTAAGAGTTATGAAGCCTCCATGGGCAGATTAGTCGACTAATTAATTTTAGTTCGCATTGAACAAAAAAGCAAAAAAAGAAAAACAAACATATTAAAATAGTATTAGAAAAAACTTGGAAATATTTCAATCAGCTACATTTCTGTTTTTGCATTCATAATTCAGTTGTCAGCATGACTGTTCTTTGTAATCTTGCATCAGTCATTTAGCTTTATCTTTCTTTCAGTGATTTCTCATCTGAATTTGTTTTAGATACATTTTAATCATAAAGTTGTTTAGATGTACAGTGCTCTGATTACTGCAGGTCCATATAAGCCCTGTGGCTGTCTTTCCTATATTTAACCTGCATTATCAAAAAGATTGATTGATTGATTGATTGATTGAAACAATACTGGTCAAAAGTCTAGAGAAAGTTTACCTTTGTCCCCACCTAGATCCCTTTGCACCCTTGACAGTTTGTTGACAGAATTTTGATCATCTCTTATCTAGTTCCATTATTCCATCATTGCTTTGAAGTGGGGCAGACAGTGAAGAGGAGTTTTAAAAATTGAATAATGGCTTCACGCTTCAAAAGAATTTGTCACAAGTTGGTATTTTGTCAAGTGTCTGAGGGACTTTTGGCCTAGATTGTGGCTATTGATCATGAGAAACTGGTAGAGTACTTGTAATGGCAGAGTCACTCTTATCATAGTTCTGTCTTGTTCCAATAACTTCTTGCCTATACATATTTTTATATAAAGCATAGTTACCATAAGCTATCATTTCTATTTTTCCAATAGAGAGACAAATTTGGACATAAAATAATAATGTTTACTGGGATTTGAAACATTTGCACTTCATTTTACCCGAGCAAATGGCTGACAATTTAACCCTGTGACCAGCAGGGTCGACGTGATCCCTAGTTTACATGCCACTAAACAAAACAGCAATTAAAATAGACCTGGGTATCTTCCAAAAATTACACAAGACAAGGGTCTTAAAAAAATATGTAAGATCCTAGAATTACAACGTGACTCACAAAGAAAAAATGTGCACTGAAAGCAAACTCATGCAATACATATATTGTTTTGTCTTACGGGTTTTAACATCCCTCGACCATTCTACTTTTAATAATCATATTTTCCACAAAAAAGCAATCATGAATTCATTAAGCATTATATGAATTTGGAAGAAGACAATTAAATAATAACAATATTTCTCACCTCAGTGCATGGATACAATATATCAGCTTTGGCATATTTTTCCTGTCATAAATATCCGTTGTTTCAGGGAAGAAGACCTTGCGACACAACACAGCATCTATTATTAGCATATTTTAAGAAAACGTTTAATCAGCGTTTAATACGCAGCAGTCGAAGAGTAAAAATTTAAGTTAACCTCGTGCTTGTAACTGAAAAATTTTCAGATAGAAATATAAAAAGCCCCAAAGTTGGCGAAATTTTGCAAATAAATTCAAAACGGTTCAGCGTCACGCAAGTTAGAGGGTGCATACCATTTGTAAACATCGCTGACATTAGTTTAGTTCGAAGTACACAAAACGCGTACGTGCTAACAACAAATAAAGCCGCTTAAATTATATTTTGAATAACAAGTGCAAACCTTCGGAAGTCCAACTTTAGCACAGCTGTTCATGAAGTAATTAATGTTATCGGTATGGCGAAAGTGAAGTCCACGAGACTGCAAAACAAATGTGAGATTTAGTTAATTAGTTGCAAGCTTTAATTTTTGTTTAGAACTTGGATAGGAATTAACCTAACAAAACAAATACGTTTCAAAAAGAAAACATAATATTCTGCCCGATGTAGCACTCACGTTCAACACTTTAAACTCCTTATCAAATATTTTGCGAAGGGGAACCGTCTCAGGCGAAAAGAAATTTCCCAACTTTGCCAAGAACACCCCATTTCTGAAGGCCTCTTCTAATTCAGTTGTGGCTGGTAATTCCTCCTTCAGACATGCTTCCATCCACCTAGACATGGGACATAGAGTCGTGATTATTATTAATAAAAAGTGTACAGCATAGAAATGGATGTTCTCCCATTAATACAACTCTAACACTGCGTCACTGGGGTGGGGAGAAGGCAGTTTGAGTAGAACAAATTTAAGCCTAGCTTACACTTTTGCCTCTTCCAAGTGGCATAAATATTGGTAAGCCATCTGTTGTTTTCGTTGTTCGTCCATTTCAGAGCCTGAAGCTCTTTCAGGACTGGCGTCTGCAAAACGAATCAGCACAAAAATTGAAAGATAAACACCTAAGCTCGAGCTAAAATCGTCGAAGAACATATTTGATCGTAAATTAACTCCAGGTTGGAGCGCGAATGTGTTTACCATCGCCCGTGTAGACTCCTGAAGATTCATTCCAGCGCCCATCTTCTTGTTCAACACCGATTTCTGAGGTTGCCATCCTTCATCGAAGAAGAACTCGCTCTCCTAAAAAAAGAAAGTTTTAAGGAGTAGGGGAGGCACCTGATCGTGCAGTATCTTGCGCTCTGTGTTCCTGCGAAAATGGAGGGAATTTCGAAAAACAAGGCGAAATTATGGGATGAAATATGTTAGAACCCAAACCTCCTCCAAACTTGCCCGCACAGAGTTAATAAAATTTCCATAGCGATGAATAAATTGCGTGGCGGAATGTTGAATGATCATTTCTAACTTTGGCCCGTAACCAAAGTTTAATCCTTTCTCGAAAACAAGCGGCTACTTCCAAAAGTCATGGAGAGACCTTACTCCAAAGATGAAACGACGCTTCCAGCTATCGTTAATAATAACTCAGATGAAAGATTGAGTCGTATGGAGAACTTGGAAGGTCGCTTGGCGCATCAGGAGAAAACTACAAGATCCCTTGTTGACAGGGCGCTTATGGTAAAAGAAGATATTATTGAGAGTCTAAGCATCGCTCAGATAAGCTGGCAAGGAGAAAAGAAAGCGAGGAGCTTGTTGCAGGAACACATACGAACAATTACTACTGTTGTCAAAAGATTGAGTAGAGAAATTGAAGCGTTGGAGAGCGAGATCAGGTCAAGACAAAGTCAAGTGGAAGGACAAAGTACAGCTGTTAAAAATTTGGAACTCCACCATGTAGCTGGAGTCACGGATCTGAGAGGTCGTGTAACAAGGTGTGATGGAGCAATTCAGAGGCTTGTATCTGATATGAGAAGCAACAATGAAGTAATTAATGACTTCAAGCAAAAGCAAGAACTGGCAATTAAAGATTGTCGTGATCAGATAACCTCTCTCGAGAAGAGCATTTCTAACCTGACGCTGAAAATAGAAAAATATGTGATGGATCAGTCAAACAGCATCCAGAAATTAAAAGGTGATTCGGATCAACTCGTTGTGCAACTCGATTCTAAGACAAAAACTGTAGTTGAAGATATTCGAGGTTCAATTTCATCAAATCGTTTGTGGGCAGAATCTGAATATTTCAAACTTACCCAAGATTTTCAAACAAGGCTTGAACGGTTCGAGGGTCTTATGGTTGAACGACAGGAAAAATTAGAGAGAAGAGTTGACCATTACCTTGCAAAGGTGGATAGACTTTTGGAAGAGGAGAAGAGCAAGTATTATAATATATGGGAGGTTAGACTTAAGGAGGTCAGATCTGAACAGGAGAAGACTATGCAACAGTCCTTGGCACAGATGAGACATGAATACAGGCAAGGATTTAACAATGTGCATGAAAGTATTTCCAGTCTTCAAAAGGTGTTTCATGCAAAATTGAAGTTGTTGGAAGATGACTTACGCAAGGCCATTAACAATGTGTTAAGAATGGTAGTACTTGTTTGACAAGTGTCAAGAGTGGGGTGACTCACTACTGTGACACAGGAACCTGAGAACCTTGGGGTTTGGGGTGCAGAATTTTTTTCACATTTCACAGGTCCTTTTATTTTCATGTTGGCCTCTTCTGAAAGACTAGTTCTTTTGCAGAACTAAGGGTGCCTTCCTTTGTGTGATCTGGATCCAAGACCAATCAAATCATGGTGTATCAAAAGAACCAAAGAATACACTCTGTACAAGGATTCATCAGTTCTTTTAATGTGCCATGATCCAAATGATGTTGGATTAGTAATACTGATCTGGATCATCCTAAAAGAATGCATCCTTAGACACACTGTCTAGTAGTCTTAAAAGGACTATTCATCAGATGTATTAATGGGTGATAAGTCTGTTGTTCTGAGACAACAGTAAATATTCCAGGAATCCACAACAAATCTGGAATAAAATATAGGGCAACAGGGAAAAAATTTGGGCACCAAACTCTGCGCTAGGCAATGTTTTCTGCAATTTGTGCTACAATATTCTTTTGCCGTTGTAAGTGTGACATCTCTAAGTAACCATGAAAAGTTTGGTGTAGAACTGCTGCTTTCTACTTGGTAGAAAGTTATGCTTGCTGGAAAGAACAATGTTGTGAGATGTGCTGGCAACTGGCATAATTGCAATAAACTTGTGACATAAAATTTTACTTTTTATGCATTATTTGGCATTTTCCATGTATGTTAGGCTTTGTTTCCTGTTGCCATGAGTGTGAGTGCCAAAAGAAGAACAACAAAAATCTGTGTATTCACTATTTATTAAATTTCTTAATATTGTTTTTACTATAATTTTTTTTGTCTTCCTCTTGTCCTTGAACCATGCTTGCTTTTTCCCTACCCTCCCCCAAAGAAATTGCCCTTAGTTATGGCCTAGTCCTATTTCAGCATGGTTAACTCTTTTGTACTTAACAGAGAGCAAGTTCCAATTTCTTTTAACCACACATGCAGGTTAAGAGAATGAAAGAATTTATCACTTCAGAAACAAAAAGAAAATCAGCCCACCAAAATCAAACTGTTCACAATGTGAACAGACAATTAAGAAGAATAAAGAGGTAGTCTCTATCTGAAGTAAAATATTCAAAAATACTAGTGAGAGCATGTACTATTGACAACTCTGTATTGTTTCATCTTACACTTAACACTTTTGAGCCAGTATTTTGTGAATAATTTACTTCAGATTGAGACTAACACTACATTTGGGTTCTCACTCTTTATGCAGCAGTCTTGGTTAGCTTGAAAGTGGACTATTTATCATGTGAAAATGAATAACAATGATACAGATTTTGTGAAACTCTAAATGTGAATGGTTATGCAAACTAACATAAACTGTTGGTAAAGTAATAACATAAACATAATTATACTAAATGTCTACCTGGTTATTTTTAGCCCATTGAATGAATGAAAAAAGCAAAAAAATAAGTGAAAGTGAACCAAGGGAGAGAAGAGAAAAACTGTCCTTCCCCAGTTTCCCTTGGTTTGCTTCAACACATCCCTGTGATTTGCGTGCAATTGGACTATACTCGCAGTTTAAACACGTAAAGGTTATGTCGCAAATTGTAAAACTCAGCTTAAAGTGTCTTACAGAGCATAACAGAACCAAACTTTTTCCTTTTCAGAAAACACACTGACTTACCAGCAATTGGCTATTTCACAGCCAGTCAGAAGAATTTTTCATTTCGTCAAAATATTGTTCATGTTTCTATTAGTTCTATATACACTGGTCACTTAAGAGATGAAAAGAGGGCTGGAAAAAAACACAAAATAAGGCTCAAAATCGATGGGCTACAAAAGCTGCCCTCATATAAAAGGGGCCCTACTGAACAAGTTAGACATGACTGAGTGTGTTTGGGTTATTGACTGCAAAACAAGCTGCATTGCACAACCATTTTTTTCATTGTCTTATTTTGGAAAATCGTTTGTTAGAGAATCTGACTCAATTTCATTTTATAGAGGCTAATGATAGAATTTCTTTAAGGACCTGTTATACTTGACCAGCTGTGCTAGGAAATGGATGAATACTGGTCATAAGAAACTGTTGGACATTGCACCCATGGAAAAATATGAATCTAGAAAATATAAACCAGAAAAAGAACATCCCTTTCATTGTCCACATTCGTTGTAAAATTAACTCCAGCATTACTGCAAGGCTTGCTTGATTTCTTTAACAAGCATGTTGCTAATAGCCATCTTTTCACAGTTCACTGTAATTGAGCTGCCTTGTCCATTGGCAGGCACTTTAACTGTCACCAGAACATGCGTCCCTCCAGAAATTGTATGTGCTGCAAATCTGTATGTGGATGCCTCTTCAGCAAGGGCTGTGGCCCCAATGTAAGTAACAGCTGCTGCCTCCTTCACTTTGGAACAGACAACTTCTTCAGAAGTAAGGTTGCCAGGAATGTCTAATTTGCCAGAATTCTCATTTAAGCCTCGTAGTTTACCTGCAAGGGTATGTGTACAGACATAATCCTGTCATAAATATCATTATAAACAATGTGCAGTTCCAGAAATTATCCATACTCCCCCACCCCCAGCCCCACAGAAGGGATTGGAACTTCCTGGAGGGGTGGGCAGGGGGGGGGGGGTAAAAANGCTGCATGACAAACAGAGAATCACAGTGTCATTTTTATTTCACCCTCAAGAGTGTCTTTCTTTTCCCTAATCCCTAAAAAACAGCCTTTCATACCAAAACTCATGAGTTGTTAATAACTAATTTTATCCAAAAAGTCCAGAAATTTGAGAAGGGATGTTATTTTTTGCTTCTTACACCTGGTTTGACCACTGGTGCCTGTACCACTTGAGTTTTAAATTATTTGATTGGGGATGCAAGGGTGCACATTTGTTATATAAACAAAGTTAATTTGATTGTTTGGACTGTTTAACATAGCATTAGAAAATTGTTAATGCAGCAATGACCCTCGCAATCTGACTGTACAGTATTAGCAGGGTGGTCACTTACATGGCCTTAGGTGTCCTACAGGGCACAATAAGAGATGAGAGAGGTCACTTACAAACTGTATGAAACTAATAATATAATGGCAGACTGAGCTTTAATCCTTTTGGATGTAAGAGTTAGGGTTGCAAGGCACACTTCATAATGCAGAAAACAAAACAGACATTCACCAACTTACCAACTGGTTGAAATTCATGCATAGTCATTCCTGTTGCTAATTTCTGTAAAACAATAATGACAGACAGAAATTCAGTAAAAGTTTCATAGAAATATACTTGATTTCCAATAACTTGAAAAATGGAATTTTGCACTATATTCTAACTAACTCACCTTCTCACCCACACAAATATTAGAAATAGGAGCTTCAGAGTAGTTGACCAACGTTACTTCTACAGCCACCATTGAGGTAGAATAAATACAAGGGCCTCTAGTAAACTTGTAACTGCCACTAAGCCCTTTGCCTTGCATTCGGTGGAGTAGTTCGTGTGATTTTGCTGTTGAAAAGCTTGGACTAAGCTGTTGAAGAAACAATAGTTGCTTTGTTAGCCAGAAACAGGTAATAATGACTGTTTCTAGAGCCTATTGTCCAAGTGAAATCTACTGCTTGTTACAATAAGTTCCAGTTTATGATGTGCTTTGAAGACTGGTATAACACTGAATGCACAGTTAGATACTTATTACAACAAAATACTTGGTTCTATTAATTTCATTGACAAATACCTCACATTTTATCATCAATTTTTTTTCAGAAGATAGAATGTATGTAGTCATAATTTTAGCACATGCATATAAAGGAGTGAAGGGGTGTATGTGGTATAATGAAAATCTCACAAATTCATGCACAATGAAGCTTCATATCCCACAAGAATGTCTGTCTGAGTAATTATTGTCAAATGACGTGTGATAACTCACTGGAGCGATGACAGTAGGTACATCCTTTGCAAGCGATAATGATTCAATCTCAGAGGCCAGGCTAGGTGACAGAATTTTACTGGAACTTGAACTAATGCTAGGAGTGGCTGGTTCATTTACTACAACAAAAAACAGCATCACTTAATAAACTACTGTTAACAAACAAGAGCAATAAGTTGAGTTGACATGAAATGGGTGTGAACTACACACCACAGTACCAGGTGAAGGTGATAGCATGCCACCTGTATTTGAGTAGCTGAGTAAATGCAAACAACAATTATAACGATATAACTAATAAGACCTAACTAACAACTCACCAACACTTTGCAGACAGACAGCTATCCATCTGCCAACAATCAGTAAGTTAAAACATTTTTGCTAAGATTAAACAACTACATGGCAAACATAATTTAAATTTCTTTTGTTTCCCTTCACTGATTATTAATGAGTTCGATACACAATACCTCCTTACTAACTAATAGCCATGAGGTCAATATGGCATGGCCAAGACCAAACATGCAAGGTAAATAAGTTGTTTACTACATGCTTTTTCCTTCGTTTTTGCAAGTCCATAGTCAGTCCATGGGTATTACAGGAGAATGTGGCCCTAGAATTAGCCAATCAGAGTGCTTGTTATATCGGCTATAAACACAAGCCATATAATAAGATAAAATAACAACTGACTAGACTTACAGTCATCCAGAATCAGAAGAGTATTTCCCTTGTCTGTCTCTGCTGTTTCAATGGATGGTTTTGCTGGCTTGGAAGCCTTTATTGATACCTTGACAGGCTTCTTAACTGGAGTCTGACAAAAGATTTAAAACTAAGCTATTATTAATAATACCTTTTTTGGGTCAAACTTGACTTTGCTCGAAAAAGTTTTTACTTTTTAGGTGCTTCAGCTTTTAATTCTTTACCTTTAAAAATCAAGCAAATTAACAGTAGGGTACTATTCAGGGAGTCTTTAGATCAATTTTATGTATAGTGTAGTTAATAATTTACAAAGTTATTCTTAACTTATTTTAGTTTTTATCCTTATATTATGTTATTTAGACAGGAGCCCTTTGATAACAGTACTCTTGCACTGAAGGGCTATCCTGTATAAATATTTGTTATTATTATTATTATTATTATTATTATTATTATTATTATTATTATTATTATTATTATTATTCACAGACATTATATGAACCGTGTTCAGTCCAGTATATTGTGTTTTGTATGAAGTAAGTATGGAGTCAAGAGGTTTCTGATGAATAATTATCTGATGACAACAATGTGTAAAGATCATGGTACTAAACCTTTTCCTCTTCAGATGATATCCCTGAACTTTCCTCACTGCTTTTCTCTGTCTCTGACTCAGAGGATGATTTCTCTTCACTTTCACTTTCATCACTCTCATCACCACTATCACCTGTACAGAATCCAACAATTTAAACATTTCTTTGTCAGGAAGAATTCATTCAGTTCACTAGATAAGTATATATAACAATTCAGAGCATTCTGAAGTGCTGAAATATGTTTTTCTGGATTGACTGATATCCACTAACATTTGAAGACAGGCAAATGACATGTAACAACAAGTCAACATTTGATGTTTAGTCAAGCTATGAGTGACAAAATCACGTATCATCATCTACATGTAAGTTCTCCTTGAGCAAAGAAGTTTCAACATCAAACTAAGTCCATATGTTACAAGTATGTATGTTCACCAGGACATAGCATTTTCTCTTTCACTGAGTCAAACATGAGGCGCTAAACCTCAAACAAATAGTGAGGTTATCATATGTACCTTTACAGGTATCTTTCAAGAAATAATTATACTGAATGCATACACGACTTTTTCTACGATTTTTATTGAAACTTTAAGACAAAATAAATGTAACAATGTGAAACCTGCATCATGCATCTCTGCTGGGTGCTGTTTTACACCAACCACTGATAGTGAGTGTTCTACAAAGCTTTGGTATGCTTAAAAAAACAGCAGCCTTGGGAGAAAACAATAAGTACCTGTTTTAGTTGATGCCTCAGATTCACTTTTGCTTTCATCTTCATCCTCTTCAGATCCACTGCTACTTTCACTTCCTTCCTCACTATCACTTCCTGATCCTAAATATCCAAAGAAGTTGATGCAACACAATAAATGGGAAATACAACTAAAGGCTGTGATGTCCATGTCTAGCATTGTAGCCCATCAGACAGCAATACTTCATTACATTACATGCTTTATCACAACTCTTCTGGTTCTTGTTTTTACTGCCAATTCACTGCTTAAGCTTACAACTTACACTAGATATGGCTCAGATCTAAATAACATACCACAGAATTCCAGAGCCAGCACAATCTGCAAGTAGCAACTTAGTGCCGTTTTGGCACCATTATAATTCCTGAACGTAACAATCCCTCAAAAGGAAAATGTGGCATCAAAGATGTTGATTTTGCTTAAAAAGCAAGGTACTGCACTTTAAAAATACACTTAAAGTATTAGTTGATAGAGCCAAGCATCATATCGCTTTCCTAGTTTGATGGTATTTCCTTTGAAGCTTGATAGATCTCACGTGTTGTGTTCCACATCACTATAGCTGATTTAAACAACCTGTTTCCCAAATTCCCGCTCTCTCTCCTACTTTCCCTTGACTTGTGAGGCAAACAGTCAAGATTCTGAGAGATTTGATTATTGACTTTGAATACTGACGGGAGCTACAGTTATTCAATACCACCATTGTTGCTTCAGAGGAAGCTATCTTAACAGGTAGATTTTCATCCAAGAATATGGAAACGAGTGAAAAAAATCCAGGTCAGTGTTTGAAATATAATTTGCAGTCAATTTCAAAGAAATGGAGCAAATGAGGGCCAAAAGAACCTAAAGTTTGAAAAAGGACAGTAAAGCATTCAGCGCTTCAATTTTTTGGGGAGACTTTTTTTGAACTTATTGTAATTCAGAGTAGTGCTCAAGGTCAAGGTTTCATCCTTACCTGATTCCGAGCCTGATTCTGACTCTGAGTAAAATGTAGATTTCTTTGACTTGACATTCTTCTTTGATGAGCTAGTTCCCCAAACTGGCTGAATCTTAAAAATACAAATAAATTAATGTCCAATCAATCTGACAGGAACCACAGTGCTGTTTTTATATCACTCAACTGATGCATGATTCAAGGTATGTTAAGGAATTTCTGAAATTGTATAACCCAAATGACATCTTCCACAAAATTGATCAATGTGAATAGAGAAGAACAATTTTGTTAATAATCTACAACACATTTGGACATTAATTTTTGGAAGCCACATCAGCCTTTGCTGGTTTTGCTGCAGGTCCTCTTTCCTGGACAAATTGGAATTTAGAGATGTTGGTTTTTGTGGAAGGTGGAAAACCAGAGTACCCAGAGAAAACCCTTGGAGCAAGGCGAGAACCAACAACAAACTCAAACAACATATAGCACCAGACCAGAATCTGACATGCAGCACAGTCAAGTAACTCCATGAGCTAAATCTGCTTGATAATACAAAATTTTTAAAGGTCATTACAAACAAACTCACTTCTACATTTCTGACAGAAGGATCTGGGGCAACCTCTGGAAACTCTGGCAGTTCCTGATAACCAACAGCTTTGAGGTTAATCATATGGGACAAGGAACCAACTTGAAAACCTTGACGATCTGAAAGACAAACAAGTATTGGAAACTGAACTTCCTTTAGTTTTAGGGTTAATGACATAACGTACATGTCCTTTCTTAATTGCCTTCAGGAGCAAAAAGTTAGATAAAAAGTGATGTATTTTTCCAGTCTCTCAATGACTCCAATATTGTTTGAAAGAGGTTGAACATGGCTAAGATTCACTGAAAGAGTCTGGCCATTTGAAAGTCATGAAAAATGAGAAGACTAATGATGCAAAACTAAATAACTGTCAAAACTATTACCAAGGACAAGGTATGTTAGAACATAATAATTCATTTCTCACATCACAAATCTCACTGCTTCTACAAAGAAGCACAACTTACAGTAATACATCATACCTTTAAATACTGATTGTATAACTGGCGGGGGCTTTGATGCCAAAAAAATTTTCTTCACATGTTTACTCAGATGACCACCCTATCCAAATGGAACCATATTTAGTATTAAATTAATTAAAGTATGCTTCAAGGTGCACAAAAAAGAAAATATACCAAACCACCAAAAATTTAAATAAGTGTATAAACAGCAATTAGTAATACCTAGTATGAGCATTAATTTTGAGATAGGCCTGTATAAATATTTAATTGTGTTCTAAATGCAATCCAATCATAGCAGGGATAAAAAAGGTTGAACTCCAGCTTGCCCTTTGGACAGGTAGCTCTCAAATTTTGCTTGTCTTGGGCAAGTCTGAGTTTGCTATGCTTTAATTTAGTTGGCCGATGACTCGCCCAAGCCCTTGCCTATTGGGCAAGTGAGAATGAACAGTTACTTGCCCGCCAGGAAAATATACTTCTTCCAGACGGCCAGACGGCACTTTTTTTGAGCCCTGCATAGTTAACATTCCTGTTATAGATGGTACTGCATAATCAGCGAGACTAGCATAAGACAGTGCTCAGTAAGATTGAAGTCAAAATGTTGCAATCTACATCTCAATTGACTACATCATGAGACAAATACAATACTTTATTATAGTTGTATTCTACCACAATGAACAATATTTAAACCTTTTTTCAACAAAACACAGAAGGTAGGTGAGGTGGTCACCAAATGAAACCTTTTATGTCTGAACACAAAAATCACAAGTCTACCGTGTCATTTGGAATGAGAAGTTGCCGTAGAAATCTTGCTCTGTCTCTGACATCATAACTCTGATCATACTTTGCAAGGTTCAAGACATACTGGCACAAAAGTTTCGTCTACAAATAAACAGAAAGAAAAGGTCATCAGAGGATCAAAATGTAACTAAGAGTATTAACTTGTGTGGGATGTCAATCAATACATATACTAACTTGTATGCCCCTGGGAGTGGGGCAACACTGTGAGAGTTAAGTGTCTTTCCAAGGACCACAATACAAGGGCCTTAGCCTTATGTGACCCAGAGTTTGACACACTAACCAGTAGGCTACTAGGCCATTATGCACCCCCCTGGATTAAGCAGTTCAGGCTTTAAGCCCTGGACGGTGATATTGTGTTGCGTTCTTGGGCAAGACACTCTAACAGTGCTCTCCAGCCAGGAGTATAATGGGTACTGGCAGATCTCATGCTGGGGGAAACCCTGGGATGGACTAGCATCCCATCCAGGGAGGACTAGAAATACATGTACTCCTAGTTGTTCATGCTACAGAAACTGGAGGTAAGCACTGGCCTGATGGGCCAATATACCACCACAAAACAATAAGGGTGAGATGGGGGCGGGGGGAGTGCAAGAATAATATAATTATGTATCTTTAATGTATATTCGATGCTAGCCTAATGTGAAGTTCAGATCCCAGACTAAAATGGTGGTCATGTAAGTTCTGAACTTAGTGAACATCATGTATACTGACTGGAAATTAGCCACCCACCTGTTTTGGGTTTGTGATGAATAACTTTGAGCCTAAATTAAGAATCTGCAACTTGACAATATCCTCCTACAGAAACAGAATGAAATTCAGGACATTAATTTCATCTGTACCAATCCAATTTCCAAACATTTCATCTGGCAGGTACATACACACTGGAGTAATAATTATACAGCTTTAGATCCAATCCAAAATTGGTACCCAAGTTACCTGAGCCAAACAAGTACTTATTAAACTATTGTATAGGGTCTCTTAGTAACTTCACCTTTTTCTTGTGGGTAGCGCATAAACATGAGCATGTCTTACAAGTAAATAGATTCTGACGTATAATTGGCACTGCTGAGGGTCTGAAATTCTTACTCTGTTGAGGATGTCACATGTTGTATTTTAGAACTGGTACTAAAACTGTCTTTCAGTTGACTTCTTCATGGATACATGTAGTTCCCTAATTTTGAATCGATTTACTCCTGTTTACAGGGTAACTTAGCAAACAAAATGCTACCACAAGAATGCATCCTTATCTGATATTTTGCATATATTATAAATGTGTTTATGATGATCTCTGGAGTAAGGAAGACCTGTTCAGTAATTGAAAACCTCATGCGTGCATGCTCTGAGCTATGCCTACCAAGTGCATCATAAATCTCACCTCAGATCCAAAAGATTTTGCCATTTTCCTCAGGACATCTGGTGCGACCTTGGGGACTCTCTCAGAATATTCTCCTAATAACCAAAGAATGCTTGCTCTGGCCATCGGAACCTGACAGAAAACCCCAATACGAGTGTTAAATACTAAGATCAAGTGGCACAAAACACCTATCCAGATATAGTTACTGGTTTCACTGAGTGTTATGACACTTACTGTGATAGAATCCACTAATTTTGCCATATGCGTAATGATCTCCGAATTCCCTTTTGGCTGCAAAAGAGCAGTGGACAAAAAATAAGTTGAAAACAAACATTCTTTCAGTTCCAGATATACAAATAAAGATAGAAGAGTTCTGACAATTTTTTCAGCTATCAAAATAAACAAAACTAACAAATATTTCTGTTATCCTTTCAGAAAAGCATGAACAACCAAGCTGTAGGTTAGCAGGGCAATCCTGATGAGTCTTGTTAGCAAACAAAAATGTCACACACAAAAAATAACTAGTAGTAATCAGAGATTATGACAGCGCGTTCGACACTCTCACTTTAATATATAATTATATATCGTAAATAAATGATTTCACTAGCTGACTTTCAACCTTTGTCTATTGCTAAAATCAACATTTTTCAGCAGCA